ATAGAATATAATTAGATGGATAGGTCTTATAATTGTTATAAATAAAGTTTTCAGTATATTAAATAAATCCTTTTTTTTAAATTATAAATTAATTTAATAATTTTGACCAAAATTATAAACGCATAATTTAGCATAATTTATTTTATTACGCATGCATAATTTGGTATTTACACAGCATAATCCTGGACACTCTAACCTGAATAAATTCAGGACATTTTCGATGATATTTTTTAGACATTTATTTTTATAGGGTAGTTGTTTGCTAAATCAAACTAATTGGAATAATATTCTAAACCATTAATAACAAGTAGAATAGTTTAGAAATAAGTAATATAATTAGATGAATTAGGTAGAATTTTTTATATAATATATATATATAATAAATAAATTTGGTTTAAATGTTAAATTTTATTAAAAAATAACATATAATACATAATACATTATATAAATGTTATTGAGATTATTATTTGACCTGTGAAAGAATGTGTACAATAAATGTATAATAGTAATTTTCAATTTGATTAAAGTATATGATGAAAATTTTTCCATTATTAAATAAGTATACGACAAATCATTTTTATCATTAAGTAGGCGTATGATAAACCTTTTTTAGTAGACTATTAAATATACGACAAAAGTCACAACACATGATCGTCTAAAAGGAAATTCATGTAACTATACAATGAAACTTTTCAAAATTTCTTAAAAGTGTACGACAAGGTACTTAACAGTATAATCAGGGGTCCTGCATTGAGAACTAGAAGAGTAATAAAATATAATATTTTTGTATCTTTTTTATTTATATATGCGATAAGGAGAAATCAGCGATCATAACACAGGGATGCAAATTCATATGATGAAAATCTGAATATTTATTGTAGGCCAGTGTAGCAAATGAATTTATAAGATTCCTTTATTGAACTCTTGGTTTTATCCTAAAATCCTATCTCAAGTTACTTACTTTCAACTCAAGGGAAAATACAAGATATTTATATAAAATCAATTAATAATAATAAAATATAACAAATATAATATAAACGATAAATAAGATAATATAAAATATATAATAATGCTACTAAATAGATTATAACTAACAAATATAACAATTATAAACAATATGTCTAATTTATCTAATAGATCAACTATGACCACTTTGTCAAATTGGTCAACTTCGTCAAATTTGTTAATCGTTTCCAATCACGTGACTGGCCGCAGTCAAGGATCACGGTTTTTATCATCTGTTAATATTATTTGATCTTGAAATATGCATGAAAAAAATTATGACATAACAGATTAGAAGCATTAGCTATATATTTCTGTAAATACTGAAAAATTTATAATATGCAATAGATTTGGGTGTGTCTCATTAAACAAGCTCATTGAGTACAATATTAAAGTCAATACTCCATCCGCATCTAAGCAAGATGTGTTTGTTCCATCGCATTTTATAATAAACAGGGATATTATTTACATTCCAATGTAAAATATAAGGAACTCGGCTGGGTCTGGCGTCTTGATTTGCCTTGGGGACTGCATGAGTTGAAACTTGCTGAGGATTTTGGATTTGCGTGGATAGGATTAGTTAAATCTGGAATACAAATTCCAACGAATTCAATGCCAGTCGTGTGTTGCTGAGCAAAGTTAATTCTAGTTAACGCTATGTCACGGTCCGAGTCCTTGTTAAAAAACAACTAAAGGATCCAGATCTAATAAGACAAACCATTTAATTTTCCTATTTTTCTCAGTAGAAATTAATACAATTACCTCGATATACACACTCGGCGGTGGACATTGGTTGATAATAGGCCTAGAACGTTGCGCAAAAGTCGGTCTAATAAACCACACTCCAACGTCGGGTCGACGCTCAGCGCCTCCAACTACACATATCGAATTATTCTCTACAGTCCAATTTGGATTGAATGCCTCGGCCGAGTTCGTTAATCTGCGTTGCATCCTTTCTTTATTGATCCCATCGTACTAAATTATAAATTATTAATAATATTGGTAATGATATAGGCTAGAATTAAAGAATCAAACTTACTTTGATAAATATATCGTTTCCAACTCTTTCAGCGAGATATTCTGCATGTACCTCTTCGAGTATATGTACGTCAACATTATTCATATCTATTTCTTTAGGAAGACTTACCTTAACGTAACTTTGGTTTTTATCTTGCCCTCGCAATAATTCGTCAATAATCATGCAGATCTATCGTAGTCCGTAGTCGTTAGCCATTAAATGAACCTTGTTATTGTTCTTAAACAGAATTAAACCACTTAACATACCTGATTAACTTTTGATGCTTGTCTAGTCTTCCGGGTAATCATATTGAACATTTCTAGACTTTCGTTGCAACACTCATTAGAATTGTTTAAAAGAGCAGGAAACACGAGAAACGCGAAAAATGAAAAAAGTACTATGACTGTCTAAAGTACAGTATATATATAGACTCTTGCATAAACTTTTGGTGGCTTCTTGTGACGTAAGATAGCAAATAATATAGATAAAATTAAATAAAAAAAGTAATTTATCATTTTTAGACTTGTTACGTAATTTTTTGGTCATACGAATGGTCGTATGAGTGACCGTATTTGACTAATCAGTGTTAATTTTTATTTTTTTATTTGCGACGGAAATAATAAATATAGTAAGATTTTCAAGTATACAATTTTTTCTACCCAAGCCGTCGTACTATTTTCTCCAAGACACTTCGCAATTAAGATGAATTATACTTTTTTTTCGGTTATGGCTGTGCATTTACAAAGGAAACGACTTCAAGATTTGAAAACTAATGACATTTTTTCTTACAGATTTCTGAAGACCTTACTAACATTGTTAAATACAAACAACATAAAATGTCGATAGTTTTACGAAGGTTAATTTTCATTATTTCTGACACTGCATGCTCTTATAAGTATAATTGACGACCATTTTTATTCTATCTATGAAGTTATTGTTGGGATAATATGTTAGTGTGTAAATAGTTTAGATGAACCGCAAGTATTAATGTAGAAACACCATTTCATTTGTAAATTTATGTATCACGCTTACAAGGTGAATCATGTAATTTATTCACTGCATCAATAAAGAATTCAAACCGAAAATGCTAACATGGCATATGAAGACGTACAGTGAATAAAAAAAGTGAGACCTAAAGTCCCACTTGGATAAAATTTGATTCATTGAAACATGCTCCTGGCCGAAAATGTCGAGACCAGATTTAGGTCGATCATCAAAATTTCTAGTTTCATTAAATTTACATATTCGTACAACCGATGATTGATTAACACCTTCTTGAGCTGCAACCTTCTCTAGTTGAAAATCTCATTTGATGAAGAGTATGGATACGAGATCGTTTTTCTATTGATATTCAAGGCATTGAAGGTAAAAAAATATCAGGTTATGAATTCTTTCAATATGATAAAGCCTTTAATATATACTTTGATATGACAATTATCTTATATTTTATGAATTTAATTTTACGCAGTCTTTTGTTAAAATCAATAAAAAGAAATGTATCACTTAAAATATAATTATATTTATTTATTACGTTTACATAAATATGTTTTTTTTATTAATTGCATACAAAAACGAAGATCAATTAACAATCAATTTTTATTGTCGTACAATAACTAAAAAATAATAATTTAAATTTTTTTGTGAGTCATGGTATCATATACCATACCATTATAATATTCGACAGGGGGATTATTATAAAGAGCGTCTTAGCAATTGTATATTTTATAAGTTATAAAGATTTATGTGATGTAAATTTTAAATAAAATATTTATATTTATATATTAATAAAAATCATCCGGGATGTAATTATAAATGTTCTAATATAAATAATAAAAATATAACAACAAATAGTTTAATAAATGATGGATTTTCGAACAATAGTAATTTCGATCTCGTCTCTCCATAATAGCATGTGTTTTCTAAACTTAAAGTCATTATCTACCAACCACAACACTTTGTTTTCTATCCAATAATCTATTAAAATTCTCATCATATTATTCTTGTAAAATCTTTTCGTATGGTATAATATGGCAAAATCACATGGCATCTCGTACCCGAGACTCTTCGACAGTATCTTTTTAAATGAATTATATGAGCAGATTCGTGAAATGGATATGTCGACTTGCTCTTTCTTATACTCCTCTCCCCAAAAGACATTAACCTTTATGTTAATGCTTTTAACGGGTCGACAAGTCTTTTCATCAGGCGTGAGGTTGGAATGGTGTAAGATCGAGCGCAAGTTGTAAGAAATTGACTGCGATCGAGATCGTGCTTTGACATTTTCGTGCGAAGGGACCGTGAAGATGTCATCTTTTGAGTAGATCTTTGGTGCCGCCAGCGGCTTTTTTCGGCAATGCGATTTCTTGTTTGTTTCATAAAGAACTTTTAAAACATTTCTTCTTAATGATGATTTTATAGTTTTTTTGCTTTTGATCTTTCTGTTATCCTTTTGAATGACTTTTTCGTTCTTAATTATTTTGCTAAGGAACGTCATGGTTTGATTAAATGAATTAAAGGAATTTGAAGTGTAAGGATATTTGATCAGAACAATTTGGATTACTGAAGTCCAAAAGAAGCGTCGCTTCGCTTATTATTTATACATTTTTTTTTTTTTTTTTTTTTTTTACCAAGGATCTAATTAAAATCAAATCACTCTTTTCTTGTCAAATGAAATGTTAGCACAAAGTTCGAATTCGCTTAAAACATGAAAAGATTTTTCTAAAAAGTACACATTTTGATCATTTAATACGATAGTGTTTTGAACATAATTCTTAAATGTTTTAAATGTTTTGATCACGCTTTGGATCAATTGATTTACTACTGGAAAACAATGCACACAAGAGCACAGAATTTTTTGTAAAACAATGTAGGAACTTTTGCATCATGATTTGAAAATCTAAGTTTCAGAATAGAAAAAACTTTTTTCACTTTACAATACACGTCGTTGATTTTTATTTCGGATAAATTTTGTCATTGTTTAACGATTAACTCTTGATTTCGTTTGAAATTAGAAAATTTTCGTCAATCGGGAAAATTGTAATGACATCCATGCATAATAGATTGTGGCGCTTTTTTTATATACCTGACCTATTAATTTTTGCGCAATATTTTGTTACTTTCTCCTCAATAATGTAATGAAAATATCTTGACAAATCTTATATTACAAATGTTGTTATCTTAAAAAAAAAAGGAAAAAACGATAAAAAGAAGAAAGAAAAAAAAGAAAACTAATAAAGGGGGGGAAGAGAAATAAAAAAAAAAAAAAACCCGGGGTGTGGGGGGGGGGGGGGGAAGGAGATATCAAAAAAAAAACAACAAATAATTAAAATAATTAAAAAAAAAAAAAAAACCGGGTAAACGAGAATTAAAAAAAAAAATAAAAAAATAATTAAAATAATTAAAAAAAAAAAAAAGACTGGGGGGAAGGGGAAATAAAAAAAAAATAATAAAATAATTAAATAATTAAAAAAAAAGACCGGGGGGGGGATATATATATATATATATACAGTGGCTTCCAAAAAAAACGCACCACTATATTGCTTATTATTAATCATGTGCTTTATGATTAATAAACAAAATCCGATTATTTGAATATTTATTAAATAAATAGTATACTATAAGATCTTCATAATACAGCAATTTTAATATTACTTGATAAAATCGGAAATTTTTTATCACGTGATTATTTATTAAATGATGGTGCGTTTAATATGGCGCTTTCGCAAATATAACAAAAAAAACTAAATTAATCCCAATTAAAAATTTCACCAAATATTCTCACCATCGAGTATAACCACCTTTTGCTTTGATTACATCATTTATTCTTTCTGGCATTGATTCTATCAATTTGGTGCATGTTTCTAATGCAGTTTCTTCCCATATCTTATGAATTTGCTCCCATAACATATCCTTCCCTCTAATTTCAATATCTAATGCTCTAATACGACGATCCACATCATTCCACAAGTGTTCAATTGGATTCAAGTCGGGAGATTGTGGTGGCCAAGGTAAAAGCTCTACATTATTGTCTTCAAACCATTTTTTAGTTAGTATAGCAGTATGTTTGGGTCATTATCTTGCATAAAGATAATATTATCAGTACTCAATTCATAGTACTGCAAAGTCTCCATAAAGTCTTCATCCAAAATCTTATGATAAAGTTTTGCATCAAGCTTACTATCTATTTTACAAAGATAATCTACACTACAAGATGTAAAACATTCCCATACAAAAACACTTTTACTACTAAACTTAACAGTAGGTTTAATATGAGTATTTTGAAGGGATTCTCCTATTTTTTTCCAATAATACTCACGTCTATCTGAACCAAATATTTGAAATTTGGACTTATCTAACCATATAATCTTGCTCTATTCATTTATTGTTCAATCCTTATATCTCTTTGCAAATTTAAGGCATTTTTCATGATGTTTTTTTGATAAAAATGGTTTTTTACGCTTTACTCAAGCTATCAAACCATTTCTTTTTAAAGTTCTACAAACACTGTTAGTACTGACTTCAATATTATCAGAAGTTTTTAGTGATTTTTGGAGTTGGATTGCGGTTGTACATTTCTTTGTTATTAAACGTCTTATAAAAGAACGTTCATTTTGCTCATTCAGTTTTCTTGGGTGACCTAAACCTGGTTTGTTTTTAACTTTACCAGTCTCTTCATACTTTTTTTTAAGTCTTGAAATGGTTGTATGGCTTTTACAACCAACTTTGGTGGCAATTTCTCTTGAAGTAAAGCTGTTTTTAAGCAGTATAATTGCTTGTGCTCTCTGTTCAGAAGTTAACTGAACCTTAAATAATAATACAAAAAAAGATTTTTTAAAGGAGTATGAGTATGTGAAAGGAAGTATTTATTATAAAATTTATTATTAATAAATAAAAATAAATTTTTTTTATTCAGTTTTTATTTTTTTTTTTTATCAAATGACAAAAATAATGCACCATAGTTTTGAAAAAAAATATGTATGTTAAAACCAGCAAAAACTGACAGATTTGTCAAATATAATATATATGCTGAATATGCCATATCTGCCAAATAGGACACACATACTATTTATTATATTTCTATTATTATTATCATTTATATCATATTTAACATAACTAGTATATCTGTTAGCTCTGTTATTATTGTCAGTAGTATCATAATTATCATAGATTTTCTTTAATTATAATTTTCTTATATAAAGGGCATGAAAATGCCTTAGAAAAAGGATAGATTCCAACAGATCCCAACACTGTATTGAACATATATTTAATAACAATAATAAACAATCTTAACATTTTGTAAATATAAAACTTATAATTTTATTCTTATTAACTAAATAAACTTTCTAATAAATAGCGTGTCAAGTTGATTGGATTTAAGTCATAGCTATTATCTTCTTGACTTCAAATCATAGTTAACTTATTCGACGGAAAGAGTAACGTTAACATCGTTTAAGTTAAAATTTGAAATAAAAGGTCCAAGAGGAGAGAGAGTATGTATGTGTATGTATGTGTTGTGTATATATGTGTGTGTGTGTGTATGTGTGTATGTATATGTATGTAATATAATACGTAGATTTAATATTATCATTATTATAAAAAAAAATAAAAATAAAAAAAAATTTATACTTACCTAAGTTGAATTGACCGTTCAATTTGTTTATCAGATATCTGATAATCCATCCAGTCAATTTAGTGATATAAATGGATCAATCTGAATCTGGTCAAATTTTAGATAGATGACCTGATATCTGGATTGATCAGATTCGAAACACACCTCTATTATAATAGATAAAGAAAATAATGAATTAATTAAAGATAATGAATTTTAAGAGGAGGATTATAATAATTGAAATGAAATTAATTTTGCTAATATTTAAATAAATAATAAAGTCTGAATAAAATTTTATATTTGATAAATAAATATCATAATGATATATTAATCATATAATTTATATAGTTTTATAGTTATTTCTGATTAGAAATAAAACACCTTATGTAAATCATCTAAGTTTTTTATAAAATTTTGGCTTAAAATTTTAAGGGAATATTTTATATAGAGGGTAGTTTAGTTAGTACTCTATGGTAAGTATTAGCAATTTACTTATAAAAATTTATCATCTATAAATTTTTATAAATAAATTATTAATACTTAACTTTTAATATCTTTGTAATTAATAATTCAATTTGGATAAAATTTGAAATACAAATTCATTTTAAATAAAATTATTATATATCTGAATTTTATTTTATAGTAGTTCAGATTAGAAAGTTGTTAAATAGTTAAAAAAACTCATATTTTTTAAAAAATAAAATTATAACACAATTATAATCATATACTTTACAGAAACCTTCGATTTTCATGAATATAATAAACATATCATTAACAGATAGTAATTGTATGTTTGACATATATTCAAAATATTTAACATTAATAATATTACTATAATATGTTTAGCATATGCATAAAATATATTTGTAATATTTATTATGCATGTCAAAATTTAAGTTTAAATTTATACTTAACGCAAATGAATCAATGAATTAAAATAATGAATAAATACTGCAGAAATATGTTTGTAATCTTCTAAAAATATTACTATAATATAATAAAAATATTAGCATAATAGATTGTATATTTAATACATAATACAATTATTATAACTGAATTATAAGCAAACTAAATTAAATGTGCTTTATTTTTAACGAAAATTATATTACTACACTTGATATTACAGTGACCCACAAAAGAAACGCAAGTGTGATTGGTTACCTTTGAACGGCTATAACTCATCAATCACAAATGCTAG